TCCTGCTGTGCCTTTTTCTTTCAGATCCTGCTTCCCAGCTGGTCCTCCCCTCGCTGTCAGTCTCGCCTGGGCTGGGCTCCCCTAGCAGAAGCCGGGGAGGGGACGCCGCTTACCTGCTGCCTCGAAATGTCCTCGCTGCGGAAGGAGATGGATTCCAGCTCGTTGCCCCGGCTGGTGAGGGCTCGCATGTAGCTGTCCCGTTGTTCAAAGCGTGCCGCCAGGAACTCCACGGCCTTGCGGGCCCGCTCCTGCAGCAGCCGTGCGTAGCCTCCAGCCCGGTTCTCTGACTCGGGGCCCTTGGCCAGCCCATCCAATTCATTTATTACTGACGAGGGGGCAGGGTGGAGAGAGAGAGAGAGATAGTGAGATCTGAAGTGTTAGCTGGCAAGTCCCGGGCAGCACCTAAGAGACCTGGGGCTCTAGGGCACGGCCAGCTCCTTCTGGCCCCCACAGCTTGACTGCTGCTCCCAGCCAGAGGAGGCCCGACCCTGTTAGACTGGCTGCTCTGGCGACAGGGCGGCAAACTAACCCTTCTCCCTGCCCCACAACAAGCTTCGAAGGGGCTCTTGGGAGTCTGTTCTCACCCGACAGACAGTTTGGGAGCGCACAACATGCTGAGTGTGCCTGTCAGCACCCAAATGAGTCTGTGTACACACAGGGGGTGGCGCCCGGAGGCCACGTTCCACACACACTCAGCCTCATCTCTGAGATGGTTAATCTGACTGCTCTTTCCGGCTTCCTTGCCAAACGCTGAGATCAAGTGGGAAGTATGCATTCCTTGGGGACCGGGGAGGTGGGGGGAGTGGGGAGAGAGAGCTGGGGCAAAGGCCTCTCCTTAGTGCTATGAAACTCACCACCGCCACCCCCCCCTCCCACATTCTCCGGATTTGGTGCTGGGAGTCCTTGCTGCCCAGTCATCAGAATCCCTGTGACATTCTGGCCGCATTGCGCACTGCTGCCCCCCACCCCCCCGGCAGCCAAAACACGGCTTCTTGCTCTCCGAGCCTGACTGGGGATGGGGGTGGGGGGGAAGTATGGTGCAGGGAACATCAAACAGGGGCGAGGG